ATAATTATTTCTTAATTTTAATTATTTATCTTATTATAAATTTTTTTTTTTAATTTTAATTTTTTAGGGTAAAATAGATAAGAGATAGAAATTGCTTTTAAATCCTTAATCTCAAGATAAAAGTAAAAAATGTCTATTATTTTGAGATGAATGAAATAAGAGTCTATTTTCATTTGATAGTTAATTTTGTGCAATTTAAATTTTACAAGATATTTCTATAATTATATTGTGTTTAACATAATATATACACCAATGAAAATTTGATATAAATAAATTGTAATTAAGTAGATCTCATTTTCAATGACAAAATCATTTTTTTTATTTAATACAAATGATAGTTATAATGTTTATATAGCATTGTAAATTTATAATTATGATGTTTTATTATATTTTTAATTTTTTATTTAAAACTTTATCTATAATATTTATGTATTTACTTATTTTTATTTTTAATTATATTATTAATTCTTTGCACTTTATCTTTCACATTAACCTAAAATTAATAATTATTTATTATATGATTTTAATGGTGTAATAATTTTATGTTTTAAAATGTATTAAATGTATTATAAATAATAATTAGTATCACTTAAAACTAAAACCAATGCAAAGAAACTATAATATTCTTAATATAAGTGACACTAATATATGTTATAAAAAGAAAAAGGATAAAATGATATATAAAAAATTGATTAAAATGATTAAATTTATAACTAAAAAAGATATATGGCAAAAGAGTCTAATAAATTAAAATAGATATTTAATTAAAGGAAAAAATATATTCGGTTGATAAAAATAAAACATGTAAAATAATTGATTTATGAGAAAATTTATTAAATGTATTTATTAATGAATTTATCATATACTCTCTCTATGCTAAAATAATTATTTTTTTTTTACTTTTTCTCTAAATTGAGTATTTAAGGATAATTTTTATATTTATCTACAATTCCCTGAAAAAATAAAAGATAAGAAATGGTTTTTGTGATTGGAAGATTAATTAGTTTTTAGATATAATATTAATTATATCTAAAAATTATTTTTCTAATTAATATTATAAAAAATTAACTATTAGATTAAAAGTTTTATTTATATAAATTATATATATCAATTTTTATATTAATTTAGCACTTATAATCATTTGATAAAAGAAACACTATTTACTTGCTGACATGTATTTAATAATATTAAATTTTGTATAATCAATAAATTGATTAGGCCTACAAGATTAAATACAAAGTTAACATATATAACTTATATGAATAGAACTTTTAATATAACAGTAGCTTTTAAAAATATTAATTTAAAAAAAATTAGAGAAATCCTTTAAAAAAATATTTAGATAAATATCCGAAAAAAAATTTAGGAAAATGACCTATATTACACTAACTTCTTTTATTTTCTTTTATCCATGTTTAAAATTTATTAGTGGGAATGGTAGAACAATAGAGAAGACATGCTTCACAAGTTATGATATGGGCAGTGGGAAGGGCTAAATGAAAAACAGTTCATTAAAAAAATAAAGTCAAGAGTTCTTACCCTATTTTATTTAGCTATTTCAAGAAAATTTACAATTAATTGTTGATATGTGACAACTAATAGCTGTTTATAATCTAGCCTTTTGTGGAAATTATAATTAACAAGAACTAGCATGAGAAACCTTTAACAAATGTGATGGAAAGAGAATCTTATGACTTATAAACATTTTATTGGTTAGGATACTATTAATGTAGTATTCCATTATTGTAATGAAGAATTCTTCAATTGGAAGACATGGAATAAGTTAAGGTTTTCTGAAATATTGGACTATATATTAACATGTGAAAAGTGTACAAAAGAAAGTTTTTTGTGAAACCATAATTAACGTATAGAAAGTTTAGAGAAGAAAGTGCAACATTAATTGCTCTAATACTTGATGAAAAGGAATGAAAGCAAAAGGGGAAAAGGGAAGTCATTGTTGGGCTAGAAGCATGTAGAGTGGGTTTAGTATATCAACGTGTGGAATAAGTTAAGGTTTTTTTGGAATATTGGATTATATATTAACGTGTGGAAAACGTAGAGAAGAAAGTTTTGTGACATGGAATAAGTTAAGGTTTTTTGGAATATTGGACTATATATTAACGTGTGAAAATTGTATAGAAAAAAGTTTTATGTGAAACTATAATTAACGTGTAAAAAGTGTAGATAAGAAAGTGAAACATTAATTGTTCTAATACTTGATGAAAAGGAACGAAAATAAAAAGAGAAAGGAAGTCATCATTGGGCTAGAAGAATGTGGCGTGGGTTTAGTATCAAATTAATTAGATTTTTATCCATTGAAAAAAGGTTAAATTTGCACCTGGCCTTTCGGCCTAGTGGCATTAGCTAAATAGAAGTATGAGATAAAAATTATTTGATTATTAGATTAATAATTAATAAAACTTATATTAAAAAAGGAAAATAAAAATATTACCCTATGTATAAAGAAAATTTATATATCAAATAATGAATAATTTATATATATTATATAAAATAC